GTCTAGCGATGCAAGAGCGGCGTTGGCATCAAGATCGCAACATGGCACTTGCACACAGACGGGGCTTCACTAGCTTCGTCTCGGCCTCTACCCTACGACAGCAAATGGGAAAGCAGGAGGCATAGGTACGAGCAAAGAAGCTTCGGCTTACTCGTGTCTCTGCAGCGATCCTGCTTTGGCAAGCAGGAAATCTTCCACAAGTGGATGCGTTTCAACCCAACGTGGCGAAGGGGCTGGGATGTGTGTTTTTACATCGAGAGCGAGGAAGGATTTCCGCAAAGATGACTCCCTACAGGGCAGAGATTCCTCAGACCTGGTTAGTCAGAAGGATCGGTCAACGATAGAAGCCCTGCGTGGCCGCAGTCTGATTTCCCCGCTTGTTTCGTAAGTGGTCATGAAGGCCATGTTCTTACTTCTTGTCGTCTCGCGTCAAGGTCGCGCTATAGGTCGCGTTCCTCTCACCGGTTCTTGACAGCCCCCGATCAGATAAGTGATGAAGGGATGCGCGCCAAGACCAGCGGGTACCATATGACTCAATGCCTAAGCCTGTCTCCAGAACGCCACTGAGCCCCAACCACCCAAGACACGAAATCTTACGGAACTTGAGAGGCTTTATCTGGGGATTTGGGAACAATGAGGCCTGAGGGCAACCGCTCGCCGGAAAAAAGATGGTGTGAAGGGTTGAGCTTAGCTCCATGAGTGGGCTTCCGGCAAGGAGTGGGCAAGCATGGCGCACTCACATCCACAGGAGTGTGGGCGGCGGCGATTACGAAAATGGAGGGGGAATAGACAAGTCCTGAAGTGACCAGAGACGTCTTGGCTGTTGGCTCTGCCGGATGGGCGAGCGCGATTGGTTCGTCAAGTCACATTCACGGCGGCGCACAAGCCAATCTGTTGTACATCATGGGGTTCAACGAAGTCCCACCATTTAGATGGAAAGAGCATGGCATGGCCCTGCGGTTGGCCGACGGGGGGGCTAGTCCGGTGGAGGGGAAGGGTTATGGTGGTGTGAGAGCGCGAGAGCTGTTGCTCCCTTACCATACATTTGGGATGACTTGATGCGAGGAGGCAAGCAGCGTTGTGATGGGGGAAGAGGATGAAAGGTGGTTCCAAAGCCAAGACAACAGACGAGGAGGGTAGAGTGCGGCACGACTGGGTGGGTTTCCACACCTCCAACACTATTTCTCTCCGAACGAGCCGTGCAGTGCAAATGCGCGGGTAGCAACCGAAAAGTCGTTCATCACCTAGATAGAGCAGGCTGCCGGTACTGGGCGTGGTGGTGCCGAGAATGTGTTGTTACTGCCGCCGTTCCGGTCCCAGCGGCAAGCCAGCGAGGCCACTTGGTCACATACACTACATGTGCGGTCCACGCGGGGCAGTCACTCTGAGTGTCTACAGGTACAGTACACGGCTCGTCCTATCCTCGCCTATCTACGAATACAAAGCTGGTCCTTGCGCCTGGGCTTCGCCTCAGGAACAGATGGCCAGGTTGCTGCTGTGGGTGGTGGTGGTGTCAAGTCCATGCTGCTGCTAGCTGTGATGGGTGGCTGTCAAACCAGTGGATGCCGCAACGGCATCCAATGGTCTGGGGTAGAGGGAGGGGGGGTTGAGACTTGGGTTGGAGCAGAGGAGGCTCGGCCATGGACGTTGAGGCGCTGGAACGCAAACCGGTGCCAGTCCGTTGGATGTCTCGATGTTTTGGCGCCTTTCTCAAGCACTTGCCGCCGTCTGTGGGCACTTCAGTCGCTTAGTGATCCGGATACGCAGTCCGGTATGGTGTTCCATCTGACTGGGCAGGCATCGTAAACACCCAGGCAGGATAGGATAGGAAAGGACAGCCTGGGGGTCATGTCTGCTGGAGGAGCCGTAAACATGGCGGGCTGCGATCCAGAAAGGCCGGAGTCGTGGCCAGGCTAAGACAGTGAAGGGGAGACTCGGGAAGGCAACGGGGGGCATTGACAAGGACTGGGAGGCTGGGACTGGCCCGCTGTCTTTTCTTTTCGCACTGCGGGAGCTACCTTGAGACCCTTGCTACCCGTTCGTGCAGCAAACGCTCTCCCATTTCCCCATCCCCCATCCCCCCCATTCCCATACCCAGGTGCCAGTCCCAGCCCCAGTCCACTCACGGGCCCTTCCCACCCCTGAATCTTCCATCCCCCCCCATCTTCGACTGCGTGGCCCCCCTCCCTCTCAACTGCAGAAGAGCATCGCCCATCTCGTTTCTTTTCGGGAACCCATTCAAGGGGAGGGGAGGCCATTCCGATCTCAATCCCTTTTCGTTCGCAGCGACAAAAGCTACTAATGTACAGCTGTGCGTGTGTAGCCGCTGTGGAGACGCGACCATCCATCCCACCCCAACCCAGCATACATATGTAGGTCATCCTACGGTTCCGCCCCCCTTAGCCACCACCACTTTTGGTGAAAGCACACTCACGTGGCCCCTGAGTACATTTACTTCCCGGGGCACTCCGCCAGTGCCCGGGTACGGCAGCGCGGGACATTGTCCCATCAGGTTGCTTGGTTGGTCAATGGTAGGCCGATTCGTCTTTGTCCGACACTCAAAAGCGCACTGGGGCCCGGTCGATGTCACAGCACGTTCCGGACGTGTTCAACATTCAACGACATTCATCTTTCACCGTGTTTTTCCACGGATGCGCGTCTATTTCCCTGATACAAACCATCAGGCGCCCAGCTGTTCCTTACTTTTTCTACTTCCTACTTTGGGTGGTCTTGTGGGCGGCCGAGCGATAATGTAACCCAGCCCATCGTCGGCGTCCATGTTGGATTTGGGACCTTCTAAACGGGTCTTGATACGACGGGTGTGCCACTTTGCTGGCCAGTGGCCAGCTTCCTGGGACGAATGTCATGTCTTATACGGCGCCTCGCCAGTCGCAAGAAGTGCCGACCTCTGGACAGAAGCGTCGGCAGATGAACTCTTGCTCTCGGTTGCGATGGCTAAGTAGCTACCGATCAACGGGATACTACCTGACGGCAGCGATGGACCTTGCTGGAAGTGCTGCTTAAAGCACGAGAAGCGCCATTGGCTGCTCTACGTAGGTGCGTTCTGCTTGTGGCGCATCTCTCAGTAGTTCCCGATGCAGACAATTAACACATTGTCAAACAGGCCTGGCCAGCCGTGACAGTTCCTTTAGTTCCCGCACCGCACAGATCGTCTTGGTTTATGCCCATTCCTCTTCTGTCTTTGTCTGTCGTCAATAGCATGCTGCTCTTGCTCATAGCTTATTCAGACGACAAGCTGACGTGATGAGTTGCTTTTTCATGCACTAGACTCGTGCGGTGCGAGTGCGATTTGGTTCTCGAGCCTCCCGTCACCTCCTCGACTGATGTTTGGATTCTCGGCTGCAGGATAAAAGCCCGGTCTCAACTCTCAGGGTCCCGCGAAGCCCACGTTTTTCCGACTGGTTAATGCAGGAAGCCCGCGCTCCCGGCCGAGAAACAGCCAAAGTTATTACCCAAGGACCAACGGCGAGCCCGACCGCAGTACTAACTGCGAGCAGCTCCTCAGGCCGAGTGGCCTCCGACGGCGGTGTTGCCTATGTGAACAGCAGCTCCTCACGATAACCCACGTTTCAGCCGCTGGCCGAACAACATGCTACTCCGCCCAGCGCCCGGTACGCTCCCCGCCAGGCCAAGAGTTCTCGGACGCTTGCATTCAAAGGTAGCCTGGTCCATGGCCCCGTAAGATGGAGCAACGGTCTACCTACAACAGGCTGCAACGCTGAGAAGAGAGGGCCGCTCCAGCTGTGGCCGATCCAAGCAGGGCAGGCAGCCTGACAAGGCGAAACGCCGCTGGTTGGGATTTTCTGGTAGATCATATCATGGCCAGGTAAGCCATTGATAGGCAAACACGAAATCTCAGCAAGCAAGGTTTTATGCTGTACCATGGGTGTACAAAGTAACATGTCCCATATTTCTTGTTTCAGGGCCCCTCCTCTCCCTTCCCCCTTCCCCGTTTTACATACCGAGCTGATCCCTTTTTCTGGCATCAACGGGAGGCATGTCAGGAAGCGCGGCCACTTAAAGGGAAGGGGGGTGTCCTTCGAAACAGGTGGTTGTTTCCCGATTGATGGGACGAGGTGATCCGTTGGGGCCTGCTGCTTCTCTTCTTTTGTTTCTTTTTTCGTGTAACCCCCGAGCTGCCTGGGAAAGTTACGCCCATTCCGCCGTGCGCAAAAAGGGAACGGGGGAGAGGGGCGCGCACGCAGAGACGGGTGTTCGGGAACAACGTCGTGCGACCGTGTGTCGTCGGGGACTAACACGGGGACTTAAGGCGCTTAATATAATTTGGCCAGTCGGTCTGTTTTTGTGGGTAAGCCGAGCGTACGACTCTATTCGGAAGCATCATGGAGCTAAAACAGACTTCTCGAGGCTGAACTTTCTGGGGCACGACAACCAAAGGCAAAGATACGCGTTTGAGTCGCGTGCCCTGGACGATTTCGTGTGCATGTGTGAAGACGCGATGGAGTCTATCGCTCCGGGGTTGGCCCTATCCGAGTCCCCGTCAGTTGCCACAGGAGTTTTGTTCCCGATGAGGCTGTCGTTGTGGACAAGAGGACAATCCCCTTTGGATTGGATTTCGCACCAAAGCAGCGTCGGGAGAGCGCTCAGCTGCTGCCGTAAGTACGGATCATGATATTACTCTTGGGATGCACGACAGGATGCACCATTCGGGAGCCAAGGGCCCATGTGTCTTACACCGCGGAAGGTGAGGTAAGGTACGTACCGGGTCGATGGAGCTGCCGGATTCGTCCACTATCGATAGCGATTGCGATAGCGATAGCGATAAGATACTGCCAAAGTGATGTCAAGCGCCGCAAGCTTCCTGATTCGTTTGTCAGCCGCCCCGCGCCTCACCTTGATTCAATTTTCATCGCCAAAGGCCCCAGTCTGAAGGGGCGAAATAGACCGGTTCAACGCCTTCATCGCCATCTCACTGCAACGACGAGGTTGGAATAGAATAACCCTCCCCTAAAAAAATCATGACGAGTCTCAAGCGCTCGTTCGAGGCGGACCCTTTCGCCGCCAATATCTCGAGCAAGGTCTACGTCCGGTCAACAAGAAAGGGCAAGGTTCAGAAGATTGTGAGAGAGGTCTACCTGCGTCAAGACATCCCCTGCTCGTCCAAACTGTGCCGGAGCTGCTTGCAAACGGCCCCAAGAGATGCCGCCAACAATGGTGAGTCCCGCGTGCCACTGCTCCACGAGAGCGCGCTGACACTCACCAGTTCAGCCGTTTGTCCTTTCTGACAAGCCGGCGGGTACCAAGGCGTTCCCTCAGGGGCACTATATCGTCCCCGACACCAACGCCCTGCTGAACGCCATGGACCTCTTTGAGCAGAGTTCGGCATTCTACGACGTCGTCATCTTGCAGACCGTGCTCGAGGAGCTGCGCAATCGCTCGCTGCCGCTGTACAACCGCCTCGTCGGTCTCACCAAGAGCGAGGACAAGCGCTTCTACGTCTTCTTCAACGACTTCCGCCTCGAGACGTACGTCAACCGTGAGGCCAACGAAACCGTCAACGACCGCAACGACCGCGCTGTGCGCAAGGCGGTCAAGTGGTACGCTGAGCACCTGGCCGAGACCAAGGCCAAGACGCTCCCCGCCGTCGTCATGCTCAGCGACGACCAGGACTGTCTGAGGAAAGCCAAGGCCGAAGGCGTGACTGCCATGTCGTTGTCCGAGTACGTTGGTGGGCTCGAGGACGGCGAGCGGCTGCTTGACATGGTGGCTGAGTCGCGGAACTCGAGCTACTCCAAGAAGCCGGCCGGACCGATATACCCCGAGTACTTCACCATGTCCAAGTTGATGACGGGAGTCAAGGCTGGTCTTCTGCATCAAGGCATCTTCAACGTCTCGCCGTACAACTACCTGGAGGGCTCCATCCACGTCCCCGCGTTTCCCAAGCCTCTCATCGTTCTCGGCAGAGAAAACATCAACAGAGCCGTCAGCGGCGACGTGGTCGTCGTCGAGGTTCTGCCAAAAGAGCAGTGGAAGGAGCCTTCGACGAAGATCATCGAGGAGGAGGCCGTCACCCGCGACGAGAACGCCGACGGAGAAGAAGTCCAGGATTTTGTATCGGAGAAGGAGCGCAAGGCGCTGCAGGAGGAGGTCAAGAAGACGCACAGCAAGAGCACCGAGGGCCGGCCGCAACCGACGGCAAAGGTCGTCGGCATCATCAAGCGCAATTGGCGGCAGTATGTCGGACACATCGACCCCTCGTCCGCGAGCAAGAGCGGCGGCCAGGGCCGCAAGCAGGACAACGTCTTCCTCATCCCAATGGACAAGCGGATCCCCAAGATCAAGCTCCGCTCAAGGCAGGTCCCCGAGCTTCTCGGCAAGCGACTATTGGTTACTATCGACGCCTGGGATCGCGACTCCCGGCACCCCGTCGGCCACTTTGTGCGTTCCCTAGGCGAGCTTGAGACCAAGGCCGCAGAGACGGAGGCCCTGTTGTTGGAGTACGACGTACAGTACCGCCCCTTTCCCAAGACGGTGCTTGACTGTCTACCAAAGGAGGGGCATGACTGGAGAGTTCCTCAGAGCCTGGAAGATCCCGGCTGGAGGGACAGAGAGGATCTACGCAAACTCCTCATCTGCAGTATCGATCCCATCGGGTGTCAAGACATTGACGACGCGCTCCACGCGCGGCCGCTCCCCAACGGCAACTTCGAAGTTGGCGTTCACATCGCCGACGTGTCACACTTTGTCAAGCCTGGCAATGCCATGGACACGGAAGCCAGCTTGCGAGGCACAACGGTGTACCTTGTGGACAAGCGTATTGACATGTTGCCTATGCTCCTCGGTACCGACTTGTGCTCACTGAAGCCCTACGTCGAGCGCTACGCCTTCTCCGTCATTTGGGAGATGGACGCGAACGCGGACATTGTCGGCGCCCGCTTCACCAAGTCGGTCATCCAGTCCAAGGAGGCTTTCAGCTACGAGGCGGCCCAGCTCCGCGTTGACGATGCCTCCCAGCAGGATGACCTCACCAACAGCATCAGAACGCTCATGACGCTGTCCAAGAAGCTGAAGCAGAAGCGAATGGACGCTGGCGCTCTCAGTCTGTCGTCCCCCGAGGTCAAGGTGCAGATGGAGTCGGAGACATCGGACCCCATCGACGTCAAGACGAAGCAGCACCTGGACACCATGTCTCTGGTTGAGGAGTTCATGTTGCTCGCCAACGTCAGCGTCGCCAGCAAGATCTATGAAGCCTTCCCCCAGACCGCCATCCTCCGTCGCCACGGTGCCCCGCCCAAGACCAACTTTGACGAGCTTTCCAATCAGCTCAGGGTCAAGAAGGGTCTGGAGCTCCGCGTCGACTCGAGCAAGGCGCTCGCCGACTCGCTCGACCAGTGCGTCGACCCCGTCGACCCCTTTTTCAACACGCTCGTCCGTATCATGGCCACCCGCTGCATGATGAGTGCCGAGTACTTCTGCTCCGGCACGCAGGCGTATCCCGAATTCCGCCACTACGGCCTGGCCTCAGAGATCTACACGCACTTCACCTCCCCGATCCGCCGGTACGCCGACCTCGTCGCCCACCGGCAGCTCGCGGCGGCCATTGGGTACGAAGCGATCCACCCCGCGGTGCGCAGCCGCGGCAAGCTCGAGGCCGTGTGCAAGAACATCAACGTGCGACACCGCAACGCCCAGCTCGCGGGCCGCGCCAGCATCGCCTACTACGTCGGCCAGGCGCTCAAGGGCCGGGTCGCGGAGGAGGAGGCGTTCGTCATGAAGATTTTCAGCAACGGCTTCGTCGTGCTCGTGCCGCGGTTCGGCATCGAGGGGCTCATCCGGCTGCGCGACCTCGCGGAGCCCGAGCCCGAGAGCGCGTTCGACGCCGAGAACTATGTGCTCACGACGACGGGCAGCTACAAGCTCAAGGTGGAGCTGTTCCAGAAGGTCAAGGTCAAGGTCACAGACGAGAAGGACGAGGCGACGGGCAAGAGGGGCGTCAAGATGGAGCTTGTCAAGGCGTGAGAGGTTATGGTGGACGGTTCCTTTTTGGGGGGGAGTATGATGTAGAGATTTATAAATTTGCGGCATAGATGAAGCCGCCAAAGGAGTCTTACGAGACGATTTCTTCCTGCAGTCAATGGAGTCATGTGTCGTCTCTAGTGATTATGAGTTGTTTACCCTATGCGACGTATCAGGAAGATCCCATGCACTTGCGGTCATCTTCTGACGGGTACATGTGCCAGAGGCCATGACGATTCTTCGGACTGCTCTTCCTCTGTCCTGTTGTGGTATACAACAATCCCGGGTCGAGTCCGGAATTGGACCCCCCGCCCGCCCGCCCGCGTTTGAGCGAAGCCAATAACAATATCTCGTTGCTGTTATGTTGGAGGCCCTTGCTAGCCGTTACCCGCGGGCACGGGATCTTGTCGAGATACGTATGACGAGAGGGGGGAAGGGCTAGGAGACTCCCCCGATGCCGTTGTATGAATGCTCTGCTCCTGGCTACATCTATAGATCATGGCCGTATCGTCGGGTACGTCACCGGCGCTGCTGGCGGAGAGAGGAGAGGGGACAGTGGCGGGCTGCTTGTTCCTATCTCATAACTCTCGGCTCCCTCGGTCGACGGCAAGGATGTCGGACGCTGCTGGGGGTGGTAGACATCGTTCTGTGACGGCATCGGGAGGAAGAATTCCCCTTTTTAGCACCCTTTTCACACGACCGGGAGACAGAGCGTCTGGCTCCGGTACAATGATTCAGTAGACAGGTGAGAGGGGTCATGAGTGTGTTGGCAACCAGTCTTCACTGAGACGGGCTCCAAGCTTGGACTTCTCTGGTGGTGAGCGGCATGCCGTACGCGCCGTAGAAGATACGTTGCTTTGTAGGAGTTTGGGGTTGCAGGTTCGCCGGGAATAGGTACAGAACGGAATCCGAGCCAACGTCGGAGTTGACGGTGTTCAGCTATGACTGTACGGTGGCGGGAACACGATCCTGGATATTATTAGAAGGTGCAGAAACGGCTTCTGGTGTACATGGAGAAGAACAGCGGCTACACGTCGTCCCATTCTACCCGCGTTCTTCGTTACAGGGCAATCTTGTGACCTCTTTGTTCTTTGATTGTGGTAGCTCTTTTGGAAAAATGCTCGATTTGCCACGCCCGAGGCTTTCCATTCCTCTCATCTATCGACATTTTTATACACACTGTAGTTGGCAAGCACCCTTGGACCTTTCTCGGTCATTCTGGCTTTTCTTCTACTGCGAGCTTCGTCCCGTCTCCAAAAAGCCAAGCAAACCTGGGGAGCCGGATAGGGCGAAGCAGTCGTCGACGGTGCTTTCGGGAAGGCGTCAGCTTTGGCTGGTGAAAAGGCCCGGCAGATACTGCCTTGAGAGGACTGCGGGGAGCAACGCCCTCGTTCTTCGAGATATCGGGGGATTTCAGCCTGCTGCCCTGTGTGTGCGGATCCTACGAAGGTCCAGGTAGTCGGGCCCTGAACCGAGCCGTCAGGCTTTCTCCTTGAGATCGCGCTGGGCAACCGTGCTGGACCAAAAAAACGGGTGAAACGGCGAGGGAAAAGGGAAGATGCTATAACAGGGAAAGAAGGAGACAACGGACTTCCAACTTATCTGAGATTCACCAGTTGCTCAAAACCCTCCCTCGGGCCTGGAAGAATTGCGGAAATCGTGCATTCAGAGACCTCATCATGTCCACACCTGGGCCCATTGCATTTCGGTGTTTCACGTCAGAGGCTTGTAAGGATTGAACATTATACCGGCCGAATAACGGTCACTTGATCAGCTGGTTCATGGTTACTGAAGCCTCTTTGCCGTCGCTCTATGTTTCCGCAGCCCTGCCTTCCCTTTTTCTCTGATCTTCAGTTCGGTTGTCTAGTCCTTTCTCTGGCTATCCCCTTTTCGGTATCAAAAAAGCTGCATCAAATATTGTAAATATGACCCTGTTTTGTTTCTTCATACGCTTCCTCTCTGTACCTCTGTCTTTGCTTGTTTGTTTTTTAAGCTCATCATGACTGCCTCAGGAAGGAAGGGCAATTAGAAACGGCAGCCTCTTTTTTTCGTCGACCTGGTATCGGGCCCATGAGCAGCGGTCATGGACGTGGTATACCATGAATTGATGAACACAGCGTTCCTGAGCATTGTTCCTAGAGAATGCGCTTACCTGTGCAAAAAGAAAACAAAACAAAACCTAAACGGAAAAAAAGGGGGGGAAAAAACAGCTTCACAGTCTTGTGCTGGCGTAAGTAGTCGGCTGCTGCTCCCTAGGCGACAAACCGACATGATGAGTATACCGAACTGATACCATCTAGCAGTCGATGGGATACACTTGGAATCGAGACTACAACCGTACGTCGCCGCTTGACGAGTGCTTTGAAATGCTCAAAATCAAACACAGGTCCAGCCGCACCACGAGAGACCACTGCTGTCTTGGTTGCTAGCAGCGTAGCCCTTCAGGAGGTGCTTGGGTTGTGCTGCTGCACCCGGGCCTTAGATTGTGATGTGTGATATTGTACCTGACCATAATATTGTGATGTGTGTCATCGGCGACAGTGGGATAAGACCCACCGTGCCACGACCACAAGGTTCCACTCGATCCGACGAAGATGGGAAAACATCGAGGTCTCGGACGACGCCGAAAACGTTGTCGCGAATGCGGGAGGTGGATGGCGGCGCTGAGTGGATGTTATGCGGAAAGGGAGGGCCGGGACGCCAAGATAGCCGCCGGCATCCGTGATCCGATTTTGCGGCATGCGTTAGCATGGGCAAAAACTCCCCCCCCCCCAAAACAGCGCGAAGCCTGAAGTCCGCTGCCCAAGATTCCCGGGGCCAAGAAAGAGAGGGCTTCGACAGCTGCAGCGGAGGTACAGGGATTGGCAGCAAGGACGGGTCCCGGAGCGGGTCCCCTCAGCCTTGGCCCTGTGGGGGCATTCCTGTTTCAATTTCCCAAGAACCACAAGTCCTGACGTAGGTGACAATTTCACAATCCGCTAGACGACTAAATCTGGGCGTATCAACTGCGCAGAGCCACTATGGTACACGTGTACTTCGGTACTCTGTCAGCCATCAGCTTTACCTTTTGCTTAGCCCGCCCTTTCTCTCGCAGGCCTCCCATGCCCTGCATGCCGCTAACATCACCTCCCTCTCTCGATTCGATGCCTCGACGAAAAAGGCTCCGCGTGTTTGCGACAACCCTTGCAAGAGGCTAAAAAGCAAAAGCACAAGCACGCAGTGCACGGAGCCCACTGCCAAAAAGCTCAGGGGTTACATCGAGCGGTGTCTTTCTGCCCAGGGACTGCCTGCAAGCATAGGACCAATGTGTTTGCCAAAAGCAAAAAGCTGGTTGGAGCTCTGGCCACTCCACGCATCATCCCATCCCCGAGACTGCCAGCAAACAAGAGCGCTGACGAGGACGCTTTCCTTGGCAAGCTGAAAGGGGGCGGAACCCGCCTTTCGACGACGCCATGGCCTGTACAGGTCACCTTCCTGCTGCTACCTTGGTCTTCCTCCAAGCTGCGTACTTGGCGGGGAGGGGGGACGGAGGTGATGGATCGCCAGCACATAGTCGACTGGGAAAACAAGCCGGTTGCGAGAGAGATGGAGACGATGCTTACTGCGTACTATTGCTGCATCTCAAGCCGAGGTTGGACGGAGTATACGTGTATTACGGACACTTGCAGATAGACGAATGGGATCCGACGGGAGACCGCGGGCCCAATACTGACTTTTCAGCCGGATTGCTGCAACAAGGATTATATACTCTGGCAGGATGGATGCCCGGTTCGCCTGCCGCTAATGTGGCCAAGGCAACGGTGAGAGCCTAGTATGAGGGTTGGAGATTCCTCCAGATTTGAGATGTCGTCGACCATGGCCCATGGGCCTTTGTTTGGGGGCCGACATTTTGTCGATGACAGCAGAAAACCAGAGCCTACATCGAAAAGAAAAACAAAGATCGGAAACCGTCCATCTTGAATCATAAACACCCTCTCCTTTTTCAGTCCCCGAGTCCCTGCGTCCCGCAAGACTCCACGGCCGATGACTCCCCCCCTCGGGTCTAGTCCGTCCTCCAAGGTTCACCCCTAACACTTTGATAGATCACCCGGTCCACCTTGCAGCATCTCAGCACGAACGCGCAGGGTAGCGCCAGCTTCATCAGGATCAATTCCCAGCAGTAGCGCGCGTTGCTTGCAGTGGTTGCGTAGTGGGCAGCCCCCCACTGACGACAATCCCTGCCACTTCAATTCCTAGCTCGCGTCACCTTACGCTGCCGGGCCAAGCACAGCATCCAATCCAACACAACACACGCTTTTTCTCGTGCGATTGGTGGTGGCAGTCGACGACACCCTCTCTTCCTTTAATCCTTCTGCATTTCCCTTTTCCCATCCTTTTTTTTTTTCCCCCTTCCTTCCTCCAAAGGACCAGCTTTGTTGCCCTCACTTTTCCCTCGTCGCAACATTAGATACCCGACCTTTGATACCCCTCTGCCTTACGCTGCCCAGTCGCAAGCAGCAATCCCTGACTGACTGGCTCTCGAGAGCTGACTGGTGCGCGCAAACAGACCCTGTCGGTCTAATTTGCCCTGAGACATTGTGAGGAGCCACCGTTGCCCAGGGCCACTTCTGTTGTCTTTTCGGAAAGCTGACTGCTTCTTCCCAAGACAAAGGCGAACAACAAAATTGCACTTGCGGTAGACAGTACAGTAGCAACCATGGCTTCTCATCCCCAAGGAGAAGCTCTCGACGATGTCGAGCGCAACCCTCATGCCTCCTCCAACAGATGGCGTCACCAGGAGAGCTCAGCCTTTGCGCGCCATGCCGCCGGCGCCCATGCCACCGTCCAACCCCGCGATCCCCAAGAGCGAGGAACCACAAACGATCTGGCCAGCTTCCTGAACAGCGACCGCGTCGAGCCCGAGAACCCCAATGCCCCTCCCAACTTCAAGCCCATCATGATCGCTGCCGGTGAGGCCGCCGGCCAGGAGGAAACGCGCTCTAACCCGACTCACGTTAATGAGCAAAACGCCCCCGACGGCAGAGAGATCGTCTGCGGTCCATTGCTCAACTACCGCAGGATGGACGGAGATCGCTGGTACGGAAGTGTCTTGATCGTCGCCAAGGGCGGTGGTAAGACACAGAGTTTCGCTCCGCACCTGGTTCTGCATCCCGCGGCAGCGGTCGACGGCCAGCAGGCTCATGCGGAGACGAACGGAGTGAACGGCACCAATGGCGCCGTTAACGGCGAGGTCTCCGGCGCAGAAAACGGCAACGGCACGGAGATTCAGGGTCAATGCCTCTACTCCGACCCGCGCAACACCTTTTGGGCCTTTGACCTGTCCGTTCCGCTCAGCCAAGCCGAGGCGAAATGGGAGTACTCGATTCCCGACATGCGACAGTCGGCTACCATCCGCCCTGACCGCTTTCACTTCTTCGTCCCCGCCATCAACGAGTCGATGCGCATCATGTTCCACTCTTGCAACGGATTCAGTGTTGGCACCGATGAGGACGCCTGGAGCGGCCCCGCCCTGTGGAACGACGTCAACAGACACCACAAGGAACGGCCGTTCCATGTCATGTGAGCCCGGTGTCTCCATCTGGTGCGAGGTTGGTTTGCTGACGTTCTCAAAGGCTCGGAGGAGGTGACCAGATTTACAACGATGGCATTCGAGTCGACGGGCCCCTGCGCGAATGGACCGAGATCGCGAACCCCAAGAAGCGCAGACACTTCCCGTTTCCGGAGAAGCTTCGCCAGGCTTGCGACGACTATTACTTGAAGAACTATATCCGCTGGTATGTGGCATAGTGCAGAGTGCAAGGATGGAGCCCGACCAAGTCTGACATTGAGCACAGGTACTCAACGGAGCCTTTTGCGACCGCCAACGCCCAGATTCCCCAGCTCAACATCTGGGATGATCACGACGTATGTTGAGATACGTGAACTGCGTAACAGGGGCGAGCTGACATGGAGACACAGATTATTGACGGGTTCGGCTCATACGTTGACGACTTCATGCGATGCGATGTGTTCAGGGGCATCGGTGGAACTGCTCACAAGTACTACATGCTGTTCCAGCACCACCTGCCTCCGCCGGTGTCTACTTACACGTCGGGTGAGTCTCGCTCTCCAACCAAGGTGGGACTGTTGACTGACCATGGACAGACCACACCACGACATCCGAGGGCCAAGGCCTCGATCCCAACCAACTCATGGACAGCTATGTTGCCCCTGCCAAGTCGGACCCCAGCTATATTGTTGGAAAGCAGGCCGGTGTAAGTGCTACCCCTGTCATTTCGCCAGAGCCACAACTAATCAGTCTAGCCCTATGTTGCTGAGCACTCTCACAACATGTTTGCCCGATTGGGAGCGCGCATCGCCTTCCTTGGTATCGATGCTCGAACTGAGGTACATCTTTGCCCGAGACTCGTGGGGAAGAGAAGAAAGCTGACGGGTTGTAGCGCACGCGCCACCAAATCAACTATCCCGAGACGTACGACTTGATCTTTGGCCGCCTGAGGCAGGAGCTGAAGTCGGCAGCGGAGTCGGGACGCCCATTCAAGCATTTGATTCTCCTGCTGGGAATCCCAATCGCGTACCCTGTGAGTCCTTATCGCTTGCCTGATATACTGCGTCAGAAGTTGACTCTTCGATAGCGCCTGACATGGCTTGAGAACGTCTTCAGAAGCCCGATCATGGGCCCGGTGAAGTTTTTGAACCGGAGATTCGGTCTCGGTACGTGCCCTGTCTAACCCTGCTCGGATCCTCGGGTTGTTGACTGTTTCTAGCCGGCGGTGTCTTCAACCACTTCGATGGCAGTATCGACTTGCTTGATGATCTTGACGACCACTACACGGCCAGGACTCACAAAAAGGAGCGCAACGCCCTCGTCGAGCGGCTTCAGGCTATCGCGTCGGAGTTCTCGGTCCGCATCACCATTTTGGGCGGTGACGTGCACTTGGCGGCTATGGGCCGCTTCTACTCCCACCCACGCCTGAACATCGCCACAGAGAACGACCACCGCTACATGGCCAATGTGGTCTCTTCAGCCATCACCAACAAGCCTCCGCCAGCGGCGATTGCGAATTTGCTGGCCAGGCGGAACAAGATCCACCATTTGAACCACGAAACTGATGAGACCCTGCTCAAGTTCTTCGACAAGGACCCAGGTGACACGAGCAAGACGTCAGGCTCCAACCATGTGACCATGCCCAGTCGTAACTTTGCCATTTTGACGGAAAACTCGCCCAACAATGGACTCGCGGCGCCCGTCAACGGCGATGCGCGATCTGTGATCTCGGGTAAGGGTGGGCATGATTTCCTGCACAACGGCGAGGTCGAGTCCGGCTCAAAGCACAAGGCCGCCGGTAAGCAGCACGGTACCGGCAATGACGGTAGCTTGGACATCTGCATTCGTGTCGAGATCGACCAATCCAACCCAGAAGGTATCACTGAGGGCTACGGCGTCACTGTGCCTCAGCTCAAATACCAAAGCCAACCTGTGCCGGTCGAGGCATTCCCTGAGCAGGTTGCCCCCAACGGACACGAAGAATAGAAAGCACCGTCTGATGGTGTCGTGACTTCTTGGTGAGCTTTCGAGCTGGCATCGGATGTTTGGCACCAGTACTACCCCGATGGTCGGAAGGCCGATCCGAAGCGTTGTCGGTTGCATTACGTTATACCCATGAAGCGAAGGAGCTCATATTAGTGACCAATGGATGTAAGATATGGAGAGTGGCTGCATCTGGGGTGCCCGAGCTCTGCATTGTTTGTTGGAATTTGGGTTAAAGCCGCAGGAAGCTAATAATGATAGGCCCGAGAACGGGGCCAAGATACCTAGACTGTTTGTTTTTTCATGTTATTGTTCTAATCTTTGCGCAGTTTGGAGAAACAATACACGTCGTATCTCCATGTCGGGATGCTTCTCCGATGCCGACTTCGCAGGGTCGGGATCGGGATGGCTGATGACCTTATCTGCTGGGTCCACTGAGCCGACCAAGTCCGCCGCCATTACGGACTCCTGGTCCAGGTTCGCGGCCCAATTGGCATGTTTGATTGGACGATGCTTCCCCGCAAAGAGTCGAAAGGTTGCGATAGGCAGCTGGATAATACTGGAGGCGTTGTTATCGCCCTTGACTGCCACTAGGACCTCGACGTCATTGGTCTCCGGGGGACCCTTTCCCCTCTGTATCCAGCGTTCCGAACCCCCGCAGCCCCTCACAAGCTCTCCGTCCACGTCTCGAGCTGTTCCGTCGCATTCTTAACCCGCCGCCACCCGACGAGTGTGAAGCACGCCTTGCGTGCCGACGGTTGCTAGCATCCCAGGAACGAAGGCCCTTGTCTCACGACTCATCGAGCATTCTGTTACGTTACGCCACGAAAACTTTATAGCCAGTCGGTTGCCGTGCATTTCTCCCCCAAAAGGTCACCTGCTCCTAACTTCAACCGTTGACCGTTGACTACCTATCGACCATCCTCTTCGCACCTCCCACCTGTTTTGTGTGTTTGCTCGGAGGATCTACTTGCTGTTCAATCCGTCGTTAGAAAGCGTTACGCACTGCCTCACATCCGCCCGTCATGGCGTCCACACGAGCAACTGGGCTCTTGAACTCCCAACTTCGGAGCTCTGCCCGCATCCCATCTCTCGGACGCAGCGTCGCTGCCGTTTCAACCACCCGACTCACGACACGCCTGGCCAGCCCCGCGACGAGGACAACGACCAGGATGGCGACTTTTGCTGCCTTTAAGGTCCCCAACATCACCAACGAGCCCAACGTAAGCAACACCGCATGAAGCTGCGAGAGTTGGCTACTCTGGGGTAAAGATGGCTGACAATCGCACAGCAACACTACGCAAAAGGTTCTGCCCAGCGCGAAGGATTGACCGCCGCGCTCGATACCCTGCAGAGCAAGCTGCCTTTGGAGGTGCCAATTGTCGTCGGTGGCAAGGAGGTCAGTATTGCGGTTTCTCGTCATCCATTGACCGACGAGTAGCTGACAGACTCCCTAGATCAAGACTGGCAAGACCGGAAAGCAGGTCAACCCGGCCGACCACAACACCACTGTAGCGACGTACCACCAGGCCTCGCCGGCCGATGTCAAGAAGGCAATCGCCTCGGCCCTCACGGCCAAACCATCGTGGGAGTCCCTCCCCTTTGCCGACCGCGCCGCTGTCTTCCTCAAGGCCGCCGACCTCATCTCCACCAAGTACCGCTACGACATCATGGCCGCCACCATGATCGGCCAGGGCAAGAACGCGTGGCAGGCCGAGATCGACGCCGCGGCCGAGCTGGCCGACTTCCTGCGCTTCAACGTCAAGTACGCAGAGGAGCTGTACGCCCAGCAGCCGGCGCACCACAGCCCTGGTGTATGGAACCGCGTCGAGTACCGGGCCCTCGAGGGTTTCGTGTACGCCGTCAGCCCCTTCAATTTCACCGCCATCGCCGGTAACCTTCCCGGCGCCCCGGCCTTGCTCGGCAACGTTGTCGTCTGGAAGCCCAGCGACTACGCCATCGCGTCCAACTGGCTCGTCTACAACATCCTGCTCGAGGCCGGTCTGCCCCGCGATGTCATTCAGTTCGTGCCCGGCAACCCCGAGGAGGTCACCAAGGCGGTGTTGGAGCACAACAAGTTCGCTGCCCTCCACTACACCGGCAGCACCGCCATCTTCCGTAAGCTGTACGGCGCCATCGGCAACGGCGTGGCCAACGGCCTCTACCAGTCGTACCCCAGAATCGTCGGCGAGACGGGCGGCAAGAACTTTCACCTGATCCACTCCTCCGCCGACGTTGACAATGCAGTCAAGCAGACCATCCGTGGCGCGTTCGAGTTCCAGGGCCAGAAGTGCAGCGCAACGTCGCGGGCGTACGTGCCCAAGTCGATCTGGCCCAAGTTCAAGGAGGGCCTGGCCGCCGAGGCCGCCAAGATCAAGATTGGCAACCCCGCCGACCACAGCAACTTCATGGGCCCCGTCATCCATGAGGGCTCGTTCAAGAAGCTTTCCGGCGTCATCGACGCGGCCAAGGACGACGCAGAGCTGGAGCTCATTGCAGGCGGCACGTACGACTCATCCAAGGGCTACTTTGTGCACCCGACCATCTACCAGACGACAAACAAGAACCACAAGCTGCTCAGCACGGAGCTCTTCGGTCCCGTGCTAACCATCTACGTGTACGACGACACGGCGCACCCGGTGCAGGCCTTCTCGGAGGTGTGCGACCTCGTGGACTCCACGGGCGAGTACGGCCTCACGGGCTCCATCTTCGCGGCGGACCGCGCGGCGGTTCGATTCGCCGAGGACAAGCTGCGCAACTCGGCGGGCAACTTTTACATCAACTGCAAGAGCACGGGCGCCGTCGTGGGACAGCAGCCGTTCGGCGGCGGCAGGGCGAGCGGGACGAACGACAAGGCGGGCAGCCAGAACCTGCTCAGCCGGTTCGTGAGCGTCCGGAGCATCAAGGAGGAGTTCGCGGCAACGACCAAGGTCGTGTACCCCTCCAACGAGGTCTAAAGGCAGTCCGCGAGGTTCTGGGGCGGAGCATGAAGTGGGAAGAGTGGGAGAAACTGAGAAACTGTAAAACTGTAAGAGGGGCGGGGTGTTTCTGTTTCTTGGCATCGGCATGGGATCATCTGGGTTATCTACACGCCCTCACTACGGTACGAGGGGATTTACGAGCATTTTTTTTCTTACCATGATCACAATGAAGCAATCGGTTTTCTTTGTCTTGCTTCCAGTATGTACCCCTGAACCGAGACTGAGATGGGCGAGGTTCGGGTTGCATGAATGAGTTTCTGGTTGTCAAATTGCGTTGAGATAATTCGTGAAGTGGGACTTGTACGCGGGCTGAGTGGTTTACTGCCAAGACTTGGCGATATGCCGGACGTCGTCTTCCCATGTTGGACGACATCACACCGTCACGTGCCTGCTTTGATGTTGAAAATGGGCCGAGACGGGAAAAGTTGACGCGAATCAAGATCCTCGCTACAGAGTAGAGCTCCCCCGTCCTGGAAAGCTGTGTTGGCCCCTGCGCCCCCATGTCTACTATGGCGAAGGACCCATATTTCCACAGGGCTTTTGGCCGCTAACCTAATTCGAGACTGGGGGATTTTTGGTTAATGGAAAGCATGAGAGCTTCGCCTTTTTGCTCCTCTGAAAATAGAGTTTGGTCCCAGTTTTGCTTTACTGTGGGTGAGGAGAGAAAAAGGAAGGCCACAAGTCATGAGGGGGAGTTCAGCGAGAGGCAAGCCGGATGGATCACGGTGCTCTCCGAAGCAGCTTGCCGTGAGCCACTTGTCGGCTGTCTGCCGTTCCAATTCCCTCATGCGCATCGCGACGGGGCGGCCTCTGGACCGCTTTACCCGCACGCGCACACACGGATTGCTCCCAGGGCAATTGATGCTGGTCGACGAGTTGAGGAGGCATTGAAAGACTGGCTGACACGAGACCAACCCGAGTCAGGAAACGCTACCTATCGCGGCGCGACCACAAAAAAAAAAGTGTGAGTGCAGGGAAAGAAGCTGGAGACATGGAAGGGAGCGGATTTGCCCACGTGCTCACTTTACAAGCGGGACGTGGGCTACGAGTGTGAGGGTCATCATCGTCTCTCGAACCGACCCCAAACATCTCACCCCGTTCAATGACAGATAAAGATAAGAGGCACGTTCTGGCAGGCAAGCACGAGCACACGAGCAGCACAAAACACACATGTGCACACACGCAGGCGCACACGACCACGCCGGAGGGGGGACGCCACACGGAACACGGCCTACGACCAACCCAAGGATATTTAAACACTCCGGGACTTTGAGAGTATGCCAGTCGACCAGCCGGCCAACAGGATCGCGAGCACATGTCTCGTGCCTCTGGGCCCTTGGCACTTTTCTCGAGCAGAGTTGCATCAAACCAGGCTTGGTAAGGGTGGAAAGATGCCACACCCGGGCTCATCGACCAAGAAGAATCCACATCTCGAGGGCGTGGGACATGGTGAAATTTGGAGGCGATGATCTGTGGTGCGGCGCCGTCCTGGATGGACAAGCCCATACGCACAATGGCAAGTAAGCACCGGCCGCCGTCTCTTTTCGCCCATGCCTTTTTGGAGAGAGGCGGAGAGGAGATGGGCGGGCAACCTTGCGGCCCGGTCTTGGCGCTGGGATGCGCAACTGCCATTCACGAACACCATGTGCTCGAATTCGCCCCTCTGATTGGCCGCCCACCTGCGACCCTCGATGCTGCCTCTCCTGCCCTTTTCTTCGCCCAGGAGCCTGCGTCCGCCCTCCTCATTGGCTGCTCTCGTCACATCTGTCCGTCCGTCCTAACCCCCAGGCGCCGCTGTGTCTGCATCTTCTCTTGTCTGTTGCGCCTGTGTGCATTATTGTTTACGGGGTCTCCCCTTTGGCACTTGTTCTGGCTTGGAGTCGCGTGCCCTCTCTCCTTCAACCTAGTTCGTTGAAGCCCCAGACCCCTCCCCAGGCGTTCTCTTTTCACCAGGGTTGCCCTCTACAGCTGGCGGAGCAGAAGCACGCCCCCTCACGCCCCCCGTCCCCCTCGGGACAAGAGATTGGGGGGCGTGGGCGGCTAGACGTCTGCTAAGAGGTTGATGTGTATCTGAGGCGAGTGCCTTAACAGATAGCAGCTACCGGTCCGGGGTTGTAGATAGAGGAAGGGGTGGATGAGGGACGAAGAGAATGGATGAACAAGCCAAGGATGGCGAGAGCGAGAGTCAGACAAAGTCGTGCGCCGCCTCAACTCTGTACTTTCCCATGCCGTATCTCTACACTAGCCATCCTACCATTACTTCTTTTCCTTCACACATCCTCCCCCCTCTCTCTCTCTCTCTCTAGGACTTTCTCTCTCTCTCATCACAACCCCAGCAGATATATGCCCTCACCTATCCATTCCTCGCGTGCTCTTCACCTCCTCGGTCCCGTCTAGTGACCAGAGCGGCGAATCGGATCCGTATCCCAGTCTAGAACCATCATCGAACGGGCGCTTGCACATTCGGTGCCAAGCCACAACCGGTGTTGGACCACCTGCCCCCTTCATCGCCCAGAATCGACTGTCCGTCGGCACAGCCTCGCAGCAAGACGTCAACCGATTTGACGTCCAGCACAGAACCCCCAATTCCCTCACCCGGTCTCCCGTGTTCTGACCACATTCTCCGGCGAGGGTTTTCTGTTCTGTTTATCGCTCAAAGTCGTTTGTGCCACCTCGTCGTCGTCTCCCTCTCGCATACACACGCACACACGCACGCACACACGATGCCGCGCCCTACGTTACCGCCCACGCCGGCGTCCTCGACGGACATAAAGGGCCAAGACGGCTCCAAGAACCTCAACTCACTACAGCTCTCCTTTGAACTGCCACCGCCTGCCATCGTCCAAGACGCCTCAAGCATCTCCCCCAAGGACACGCGGACGTCTCCCAACACCGAGTTTCAAGCCATCTTGCCCTCCAAGGCCGCGCCCTACCCTGTACAGCCCAGCGAGACGGTCAAGTCCCGCCGGCGTTCGTCAGCGGCCCAAAAGGCGGCCTCGAACGAGAGCTTCGCGCTGCCGCCACCGCCGACGCGGTCTCGCAAGATTATCCAGATGAAGCCCCGTGCAACGCAGGAAGAACCCGAGGAGGCCCCGGCGGCCGCTGGTGCCAAGTCGGGGGCTGCGGGTCCGGGAAAGGCCGGTGCGGCGGCGGCCGCCGCTGCCACCACGACGGCGCAGGGTAAGAAGAAGCAGCCTTCCGCGACGAGCGCAGCGGGCCGCAAGATTGCGAGAAAGACGGCGCATAGCTTGATTGAGCGGCGCCGGAGGTCGAAGATGAATGAGGAGTTTGCTGTGTTGAAGGGCATGATCCCTGCCTGCACGGGGGAGATGCACAAGCTGGCCATCTTGCAGGTGAGTTGTGATGGTTGTGCGCTTCTGTGGTCTTCAACTGCTAACCGGAAGCAACGCACAGGCATCAATCGAGTACGTGAGATACCTCGAAGACTGCGTCGCCAAGCTCAAGGCCCAACGGGACGCGTCCGAGGCCCGCTCGCCCAGCGAGTCCGGCCTGCAGACCCCCGCAGGCCGGGGCGAGTCGTGGGGCGCCATCCCCCAGTTCGTCCCCAGATACCAAGAAGACCCCGACGACGTTGAGATGACCGACTCGGAAGCCCCGTCGCCAGCCTTCTCCCCTGTACAGCAACAGCTACCGCAAACGCAACACTCGCGCTCGCAGCAGCCGTCCGTGTCACCGGCCCTGCTGCCGCAGGATGCCAGCACGAGGCACCGCCACGACTCGTACTCTTCCGTGTCGACGGACCACCCAAGACATTACAGCTACAGCACCTCGACGACGACGTCGCCTGCCTTCGGACCGCAGACGTCCGTCGGGTACGGGCACGGTGGCGGGCTCGGGTCGGCGCTCACAAGCCCCGCGTTGGTGCCGCAAAGGGACCTGGACCAGGAGGCGACGGCTGCGTTGCTGATGTTGAACAGCGATCGGAGGGGCACGGTTGGGGAGGCGGGCGCTATGAGGAGTGCCGGGAGGGGTATGTCGGTGAGGGATCTGCTCAGTACATGAGAGGGCAGAGGTGCCGAGGCACTATTACCGGTGTTTCGGTGTCATTCTCAGCATGGGGGTCGAGAGCCATGATTTGATCTTTGTGTTCTCCCACGCTTTGGAATTCCCAAGGTATTGCACGGGGTGAGGAAAACTTGAGACGATGAGCGGGACGACGCGCTTGGGTCTGGAACGACCCAAGGGCCTAGGCCTCCCTCGAGGTGTCATCAAAGCTCTCGGTGATTCATAATGGGGTTTTGTGGTTGTCCATCTGGAATACAGCATAAGCTTCTATCTTAAAAAGAGAACATAAGGCATTGGTACGCCGGGATCAGGGGCCATTGGGCTGGTAAGAATTTGGCGGCTGGGGGCGCGGCGCACTGCATGTGGTGTATTTTATTTACTTTTTCCCGTCGAAAACTTCATCGATTGAGGGTGGAAGCATGGACACCGTGGTTTTTGGTTTAGGCAAAAAGATGATAGAAGGACTTGATAACATGACTGGAGTATGGTCAATTGACGGTGTACCCTCCTGCCTAATCCCCGAGGTTCCTCTCTCTCTTTCTCTGTCTTGATGGGGGTGAATGGCGTGAAGTGAACATACGATGTGGGGATAGTGATCGTTGACAAGGTGTTTGACCTTCCTCACCCTGACAAGAGCTACCTCGACGACGGGGACCCTGAGCTACTCAGCGTTGGGGCTCGAGAGGGTCTCGTAACAGTGGTGAATGAACACGGCTGAAAGGTGCCGCTGCCACAGTGCGGGTGGCCTTCCGAGAGTTCTGAGAGTTCCCTGGCCTGGGTTGTTGCCGGGATCGCGAGGTCGGAGTTGCATTTCTGTTTCAGGGTTGGGCGGCATCGTACGAGATGCTCACCCGTTGTTCTCCACCATCGACCCATCACGTGACGCCCTCGCCCTCGCATGGGGTCCGTGTAAGTCGCGACACCCTGTGTTGTTTTGGTTTTGAAGGGGACGATTATTCTTGGGATCTCGAGATGGGTTTGAAGATTGACGGGCAAGGGGGTTGCGTTGTCGCTGTCGTTGTTTCGGCGAGACTAGGGGGGGGGAGGGTTGATGACTGACTGGTATATAGTATGGAGCAAGCCTGTTTCTGGAGGCTTTCGAGGAGATGTGCTGGTCAATATCAGACGGCTCTTTTTCCTTCATTCTCCTTGAAACAGGTTGAGCGTTATTTCCCCTCCCGATAGGGTGGTCTTTATTGCACCTGTTTGAAATAATTTCATTGAGAGCCTGGAAATTACCACGTCGAGATAATCCCTTGGCGGCCGGCACAGACATAGTGGCTACGGCTATTCCAACGAATCTCCAAGGACCGGGTTTCTCCGAGTCTGTACACCCGAATTATCACCACTATCACCGAAGATGGCACCAAGACACATCATCGCATCCGTCCCCCAACCCTCCCGGCGCCGCTTCGCCCCTCCTCCATCACCGGGCGGCCAAAGCGACCTCACCCCGGACGAGGACGACATCTTGGCGGAACTGGGCCTGCAGGCTGACGACTCGGCGTCCAGCGTCGGCGGCTCGAGCACGGGCATCTCGGCGATCGACTCGGGGGTCAGCGTGAACAGCAACGGGAGCGGGCGCCGGCGCCGGAGACGGAACCGGAACCGCAACAACCAGAGCGCGAACAACGCCAACGGCAGCAACAACAACAATAACGGCAGCGGCAATGGGAACGGGAACCTCAGCAGGCAAAAGACGGTGACGATACCACGCCAGGGCAGCGACAGGGACGAGAAGCCTGTGAGGTTGAAGATTGGGTTGGACCTGGACGTGGACCTGGAGTTGAAGGCCAAGTTGAAGGGGGACATTTGCCTATCTCTTGTGTGAGTAGTCCGTCTGGTTCGAATTGGCCCTGCCGCCGCCGCCTTCTCTCCCATCCGTGACTGACGGCGACTAACCAGGCGGAACTGAGGAAAGCGTCGAGAGGAAGTTCTCCAAGCGCGAGTCGATGAGGGTCAAGCCCAACTGGCGGGGCGACGTCGACGTCGAGGAGATGTTCCACTTGCGCGTCGGGAAGTTCAGCTTCAGGCAGCGCTGGATCGACCGAGAGGTGAGCTCGAGTCTCACGGCGGCGGTCGGGTTCTGCATCGCCGCGGGCGGGTTCGTCGCGGGGTTCGCCGCGTCGAGGTGGCTTGGCTGAGTCCCTGCCATCAATGGCGGTTTCTAATGGCTCGTTCCAAGTATCTGGGCGAGGTGCATATTTAAAAGTGAATATGTATGGATAATCTATGGTTTCCATGGGAGGACGGCGTTCCGCGGCAGGCATCGAGTGGAGATGGTTCCCTTCTGCCTAGCGACTGAGGAGCTGATGGGTTATCGCACATATGAAGAAGCTGACAATAATATCGCTAGTCGAACATATGAATAATAACGATCTACGCTTGTCTGTTAAAGGGCATCTTCAATCGTGTAACTGGGTCACAACAGCTCTGGCAGAGTTTGTAGGAGACGAAATCTCAGCAGGAGGTGAAGGCTGGGTTCAATGGGACTCGGGTATCGGTCCATAGGTTACTATACCTCCTGGACATGAAAGGTCTCGGTGGGCCAGAAATATGGAATTTCGGGTGTGTGGAGCGAGTCTCCCGCCGCGTATCATAAGCTTTATGCGGAAAGGGGCGGCATATTTGCCGGCTGATCTGTGCGATGCTACGTGTATGCTGCTCGTCGGGTTATGGGTATGTGCTTTACAGTGCCATGTCAAAAGTCCGAAAACCGATAGGATGGTGATGTGAGTTGTGCACTTCCGATGCGGGGGTTTTCAGACTTTTGACACGGCACTGTGGCTGAAGTCAAACATCTGCAACACATAAGTCGGCGAACATGTAAATAACACGGTAGCAACCCACGAGGCCTTGCGGAAGCACTATTTGTATACATTCGTGATGGGCATGGAGATTGACGTCGGTGTTGTCACATGATTAGGCAGGCGTGGTGTGTAATCCTATGGTCTTCTTGGAGCTGCTTTCTTTCATCAATGCCAGCAAAAGCCTAGAAGCATGTGGCCGGGCAATCGAGGGGAGCCGGAAGGATGTATTCGTCACCATAAAGTCTCAGAAACCGGAGCTGCTAGACGTTTTCCGCTCGAATCTTTGGCCTTAGCTTATCGAGCTTTCTTCACAGAGCCTTGAATAAGTATTTGTGCAATAGCATCATTAATATCCAAGAGTCTGCAAGATTGGTGGATTCTGGAGGTTGATGTAGATTCGCGCTGACGGCGACCTCTCACCGAAGCTTACCGAAGAGCGAAGTGCAAGCTTTCGGTAAGCGACATGCTAGCGCCGCTAGCGCTCTGCCGTAGGCTTCGATGCTCCACACGAGCTCTAGCTTGATTCCTGATCGGGCAGATCCGACAGGGTCTCGCGTGCCCAGCAGCAACTTCAAAAAGCCCAGACCCTGTCGCCGCGATTTTTTTCGTCGCGACTTTCCTCAGCTCACTCTGCGCCCCCATCACATCCGGCTTGTCAACAGACCGCATCTCACCGCAAACGAGACATTTGCAAACTCGACTGCCTTGTGATTTCGACCCCTCAAGTATAGCACATTCTCGACCCGGGACGCAATGTCGGCCGTTCTGGCTTACATCAAACAATGCTTCCTCGGCGTAGCACGGGGTGTGGGCAAGTTCTTCAAAAGTATCGTGGACTGGCTCAAATTGGCATATTCACCGTAAGGCGCCATCAGAATGGATAAAAGTGCACCCGTGAGCTGACGTCATGAAGCAATCCGTACTACCGTGGCAACATGTTGACCGCCCTGGCCGTCAGCGGGCGACCCCCTTTTGAAGGCAGCCTGCGCATGGTGATATCACAGGTGTTCCAACCTTCCGACTGGTCCGTCATGGAAGTGTCCGTCATAAAGCCCAACGGTCCCCCCTTCAAGGCAGTGCTGAAGATGTTTGACCGCCGGTTCTCGCCCTGCGTGCAAGGCCTGCGGCTCCGTAGGGGCACCGGCGAATGGACACCCGAGTTTGAGGAGGAGTTCGTCGACTACGTCCGCCGGGGCGCTGCCAAAGAGTACCTCTGGAGGAGCGATGACGACTTTGAGGTAGAGGATGTCCCGAGGAAGCTGAACAGGCTCGAGGAGGAGGTCGATCGGCAGACCGAGTGTGAGACCATCTGCAACGAGCGGGCGAGCCGCTTGCAATCTCGGATGGGCGCGGAGAAGGGCATCAGGTTGCCCAAGACGTATTGCATGGTGCGGATGGCGATTCAACAAGATTTCGATAACCGATTACTCGAAGTGACCGGGATACTCATGGAGTACGTGCCGGGATTCAGCTGCGACCTCACAGAGTGAGCAAGGGTCGGGATGAGAGCATCCAGCTACGGTTCGTCAATCTGCAGCGGCGAAACACCCCTGCCTCAGAAGGAGACCAATAACTTGCGACGGCTAGCGTTAACCGCTGGGCCGCCAAAGGATTTAGGAGAGGAGAGACGTTTTCGCGGAGATTGTTGCCCGGCTAGGAGTCTGGGCGACACACGGCACGGGGATTCCAGAGGTCTACGCATGCGACAGACGATCGGGAACGGCATGCGAAGCTCGGGGCAGCCCCTATCTACTGTCCGGGACTTAAAAGCATCCCGGCCGGTCAGACGGAGGGAAAACAACCGGTTCTGGCACCAAGCCCGGGCAATACCGGTCTTGACTCTCGCACAGGCCTGGCGTTTGCGACAATTTGACGTCTTTTTCAGAGCCATCGTTGGAAATCGAAAGTTTAATTTATACACGAGAATTCGATTCAAGCTTCCGCTCACGGCCGTCCAAGGGTAGCGGTCTTCTCAGCACCGCTTCCGTCCTCAAGGTCACATTTGGCCAACTATCAGACGATTCATTTACAATCTTCTAAAGTGAGCGGACTCTCCGGGCGAAGCCCAGCTACTAGTACATGGTAACCAGCAACGATCTCCGCCGCTGAAAGCCATTCTTGCCCCCCCCCCCCCCCCCCCCGACTCAAGGCCCAGAAAATGAGCCGAAGACGAATGGGTCGGCATCTGCTGTGGCGGTAGACTGCGGCGGTTCCACCCATTCGGGGCGAAGGCAGGCGAGAGACAGCGTGGGGGTCTGCCTCCTTTCCTCTTCCACGCTGAACCTGTAGCCGAAGACCGTGCCGACTATATACGTCCGATTCGAGGCGGCGTAGTAAGCCGTGACGTTCCCGGGGTCAACGTATCCCGTTCCGAGCATCCACGAGCCTTGGGAGACCTCCTCTAGAACGGCTGCCTTGGCCACGTCCGCGTCCTTGAGAAGCTCCGACCCGTACGCTCCACGAAAGGGTCAGCCGAGTCGTCGCCAAGGTGAGGGCATCAGGGGCAGAGTGTGCGGTTCAACAGATAAACAAAAGCAGGGGACCGCTACTTACCCGTAACGTCTTCAGTGATCCAACCTAGATAATCTTGGCAGCTCAGCGGCACATACTCGAGAGCGAACCTACTGCAGAGCCCTTCGACGCCGTGGATGCCCCATTCCTCCGTGAGACTGCTCTCGAGGTCGGCGCGGCATTCGTCCGGAAGGAACCCGCAGTCGTGGTCCACGGGCTTGGTGGGGTCGACCTTGTTAGTGACCATGTAGTGCTGGCAGATGTACCACGAAGGGTCCATGGGCTTGGGAAGCCCATCCTGCATCATGGACTCCGGGAGGCTGTATGTTATGGCGGCTAGCTCGGTGACTACGCCATGATCGACCGACTCCGGGAACAGGACGTCGTTCGCGATGCGCAGGTGGGCCTGGTAGCCGTCGATTGGTTCACCAGGAAAGGGCTTCGTCCAGTCGACGCCGGTGTATGTTGCCGTGTCAATGTGCGCGGGCTTCTTAAAGGCCGGCTGGACGTCGGCCCATGCGATCTTGACGACGTTCGAGGCGTTGGAGATCCACTGGATGTTGTCGTAGTAGATCCAGGACATGCCGTCGTTCACGTGCGGGGAGTCGTCGAGCTTCGACCACGCTGCATCGAGAACGGTCGCGACGGCCTCGTAAAAGGCCACGCCTGGAAGCATCGTAGGGTTAGTCCACTTGCAAGCGCACGGAGCCGCTGGGGTCGGAGAGGAGGCTCGGCGATGCTATGCTGCTGCCAGGGTCTCGCGAATGGTGATGGGTGAAAGGACAGAGCTAGGGGTCCGCGAACAGAGGACGGTTGTGGGATTCTTTTATCCCCCAAGACAGCGGAGCCGCTCCCGACTCACCGGCGGCACAGCAGTAAACAACGATGTGACCCATTTCGCGCACGACTCTGGCATAGCCCAAGCGAACACAAGCTTTGCCAAGTTGGACAAGAAACGTGGAGTCTCCATTTCGAGAACAGGGGTGCTTTATGCTTGTTAGTTTGGGTTTTCTCTTCCTCTGGGCCCACCCCAAGCACGGCACGACGTGCCGGAACCAACAGCTTTCACGAGGCGGCCCAATGAGGACAAGGACGCAATCTTATTTGAGGCCAAATTTCAACTCGAGACCGTTTGATGCCCGTCCTGAGCTGGCATTAGTTTGTGGGAGATGGCGCGACGATGGGGATATTGTCGGCACGGAACGCCCAGGTCATATCAGTACTCTACGGATTCCAACCCAGAGCATTGGGATCACATCTCTCAGCCACTGCCCCGACTCACATCTGAGAAGAAGCCTCAATGCAAAGTTGCCAGTGACTATACTGAATATGTTCGTGTAAAACCGGCGCCTGTGGACGATTCTTTAGCGTGTCTTTTGGGCAATAACACGGGGTATTTGGAGTAGATCTCCCATCGTTGAATCATGTTGCTATCCGACATACCCGCTAAACGCCTCTACCCCTTCGCTTAATGACAGGCTTCCTCACCGCCCCATGCGTAACAATCTTCTTGCCACCCGCCGCGACCACCGTGCCGGTCTTCCTCTTCGCGGACCTCTCCTTCTCGGCCTCCAGCCTGTCCTCCTCCCTCTTCTTGTCCTCGGCCATCTTCGCCTCGATCTCCATCTTGCGGTTGAACTCCGTCTCGGTGATGCGCTTGTCCCGCACCGAGTACCCCTTCTCCTTGACCGAGTAAAACACGCCGCCCAAGTCGGCCAGCCAGTGCGGGTCCACCGCCGTGACGGTCGACACGTACACCTTGGACGTCAGGATGAGCTCGTGGTAGACGACGTAGTCGGGCGGGTGGCCCGCGTACAGCGCTGACGTCGGGTGCAGCTGCACGCCGAGGTTGGTGCGGAGGTTGATGTACTCGCCCGAGCCCTTGTACTTGGCCGCCTGGTGGTAGTAGCCGCTGCAGATGCACTTGCGGATGATGTCCCAGTCCATGCCGCAGCTGAGCATCTCCATCTTCTGCATCTTCATGATGTCGAGCAGCTGGTCACGAATCTCCTTGGCGCGCCGTAGGGACTTGGGGTGGAGGAAGTGCTTGATGCACCAGCCGTCCGAGCATCCGTTCGACTTCCACGCCGAGTACACCTGGAGATACGTCAGGTGGTCTGATTCGTGCACCCAGAACTTTTCGCGCTGCGCGTCTGCTTCGTCCTGGCGCTCCTTTGGTCTGTAAAAGACGTTTGGAACGGAGAGCATAGACACGATGGTGATCATCTCCTCGCTACAGCCGTATTCCTCAGCAGTGATGAGAAGCTTTGAGAGCGACGGGTCCATGGGGAACGCGCTCATCTTTCGGCCAAGCGGCGTCAACTCGCCCAGGTTGTCGAGAGCGCCCAGGGCCCACAGGTCGAACATGGACGTTGTGATGGTGTCCTGCGGCGGTGGGTCCATGAAGTCAAAGTCTAGCAAGTCCTTGACGCCCAAGGACTTGAGCATAAGTACTGTGTTGCTTAGATTCGTCCGCTGGATTTCCGGAATCGTCTGCATGTACAGCTCCTCCTTGAACGCCTTCTCGGTGAATAGGCGGAAGGCTTTGCCAGGGCCTGTTCTGCCGGCACGTCCCGACCGCTGCGACGCGTTTGCCTGCGAGATGGGGGTAATCTGAAGGGTGTCCATACCCATCTTCGGGTTGTACACCTTCATCTTGCTGTATCCGGCGTCCACCACATACTTGATACCGTCGACGGTCAAACTCGTCTCGGCAATGTTCGTAGCGACGATGCACTTGCGCACGCCGGGCGCTGCTCTGTCGAAAATCTTGGATTGCAAATCTGCAGGCATCTGACTGTAGATTGGCAGGATGCTCAGTTTGGGAGGATCGTTGAGCGCATCGAGTCGCCGTTGAATCAACTCGCAGGTGACCTCGATATCTTCTTGTCCCGTCATGAAGACGAGAATATCGCCCTGGTCCATGGACACGTGGATGGCCAGAACCTGTTGGACTGCCTGGTCCACGTAATCCTCGACAGGCGACCTGTGGAACATGACGTCGACCGGGAAGGTCCGGCCTGGGATGGTGAACTCAGGGGCTCCGCCGTAAAAGTCCGAAAACCGCTTCGCGTTCATGGTCGCGGACGTGACGATCAGCTTCAGATCCCGCCGTCTCTGGAGAATCTTTTTGAACAGCCCCATCAGGATATCCGTGTTCAGGGCGCGCTCGTGCGCCTCGTCCATGATGACGCAGGAGTACCTGTCGAGATCAGGCTCGTTGAGAGACTCTCGCAGCAGGACACCGTCAGTCATGTACTTGATGACGGTGTCCTTGCTGGTGCAATCCTCGAAACGGATCGCGTAGCCCACCGTGCTGCCGAGCTTCACCTCCATCTCCTCGGCGACACGCTTGGCAACACTCATTGCGGCGACACGTCTCGGCTGCGTACACCCAATCATGCCTGACTTTCCGAATCCTTCCTCGTAGAGGAACTGCGTCAGCTGGGTCGTCTTGCCGGATCCCGTCTCGCCGACGACAATGATGACCTGGTTCTCCCGGATGACGCGCATCAAGTCCTCACGGACTGCGAATGCAGGCAGATACTGCCTCTGCTCGCGTAGCGTCTTGCTTCGACTGAAGTCACTGCCGCCGCCTTCATCCTTTTTCATATGGTCGCTAAACTTGTTGCTGTTGCCGTTCTCCACGGGTTCGTCTCCGCCCATCTTCTTCACGTCGTTCTCCGAAGCGACAGGCAGCGCGCTGTCGCCGTCGTCCTCCTTAACGCCCATTAGGTTTCCCAAAGCCGTTCCCGCAATGTTTGTGGCCTCCTGTGCCTGCCGTTGGCGTTCCCGCTGCTGGCGCGCCTCCTTGACCACTTTGCTGCCTTTCCGACTGAATACGGCCATGTCGCTCTGGTAGTCGCGCACGGCGGGGACAGGCTCCAGCTGTTTCGTGAAGATGGTCCGTCCATCGAGGAAAGGCGGCCGCAAGTCGTGCACCAAAAGATGAACTCGCGTAGCCTCTTCGTCGTCGAAATCCGCGCCCATGTCCCTTCTCTGCGCCACACCAGAGACCAGCATCCGGTTTGTCTCCCACGCGTCGTTCTCCCTCTGCCGCTGCTCCTTCCGCGCATCGAACCGGCTCGACATCTTTTCCGCCTTGACAGCCTCCTGCTTCTCAGCCTCCCATGACGCATACGCTGCAAAGGGGTTGTGCGAGTCGTCACCGAACGTGTGGCCGCCGAATTCGTCGCCCATGTACCAGTCACGATCCAGCGCTTTCGAGTCTTCGTCGGTCGGCTCCGGGACGTCACGAGCCGGCGTTTCGGCGGTGCGGGAGTCGCGTGGTGTCGAGCGACCCGAATCCTGGAACCTCCCTCCATCTATCCTCCGACGCTTGAAGCTGGGGCCTGATCCATCTCGGTTGTCGTACATATTGTCGGTGGCCTTGCGGTCGCGCAAGGTGTCGCCTGGGCTCCCTCTATCCTTCGGGCTCGAGTCTTCGTTGAGATGGGAGTGATCTACGTGATGCGCCGTCGATTGAACGTGAGTTGCTGACTGCAAGGCAGGTTGCGATGTCGACCCAGAAATGCATGTAAAGCGGTTGCGGCAAAGCAAGTAAACAAAGCTTGAGAATTGGGGCGGTTTCTAGGTACCATGTTAAGAGCACTGGAGTGGGGCCAGTGGCTCTGATGCAGGTATCCCCTAAAGACGTCACTGCCTGTTCGGTTAATGCAATAAGGGTACCTGTATCTTTTCTAGTGTCGGCGTATCTCTGAGAAATACTACCAATATAGCATACTCGCCAGGAGAATTCGCAAGAAATCGAATTCTACAACCGTTCGTTCAAGGTTCTTGTCAGGTAATTCGATGAAGTTCAGCAGCATCCTTCTCCCCTTACAAGGCAACTATGGCGGACCGCATTTCGCGAAGAACGCCGTCACACCGGCTGTTTATCGATAACGAGATAAGATAAACCCCACCTTCGAATATATTTTTTTCCATCGCGCGCTTCACACACTGTCGGTGGGTGCAACTGGAGACAACTCCCTGTACCGGATCCCGACCCTCCAAAAAGTTTTGGCATTTGTTTTTGCCGACTACATATACCCTCTCTGTTGGACACTTGCGAGGTCCCAAACCCTTCTGCACATCCGCAGTAAATATCCACGGTCAACCAGCGGCATAGCCTTGAAGCGACCTTCAAGATGTCCATGATCACCACGTCCACCTGGGTGCCCCGAGGCTTCGCGGCGCCCTTCCCCTCGAAATACACATTCGACGAGAGCGAGTACGAGCGCATAGCCGAGCTCGCCAAGCTGCAGCTGGATGACGCCGAGGAAGACCTGAAGGAGGCGCAGGATGCGGAAGACGGCGTTGCGGCCAAGACCACCGACGATGCGGCGGGCGCAAAGGAGTCCAAGACGGAAAGGTTGGTTGAACCCGGTCTCTGCAAAGGCGCGCATTGGGTGCTCGTGACTGAGAGGACATGACTTGCTGACCGCCTCGCAAACAGTGTCAACATTGACGACGAGGATCTGAAGGAGTACGACCTGGAGCACTACGACGACAGCGACGAGGACGACGAGGAAAAGGTCGGTCAGGGCGAGGGCATGGCCATGTTCGGCAACATCAAGTCGCTGGCCTACTACGAATCGAACAAGGACGACCCGTACATCACGCTTCACGGCAACGGCGGGCCGGACGATGACGAGGAGGAGGACCGCGAGGACC